CTTCCTCAGGATTCGGATTTTCACTGCTGCGGGGGTTGGAAAAAGAGCTGTTAGGTTCTATTTACTTTTGATAGCTCTTACCTCCTTAAACACACAGCCAACGCAAGGCTGTCTTGCTGTTTCTGTAATGTGGTGACGCATCCATCCAAGCTCTTATAATTGCAGCAAACTTGTAAAAGCTCTCATTTGAGGTTAGTTTCCAGTACTGAACACCGTTCTTCTCACTCCGCTTTGCTCATGGGAGCGGCGAAGGCATATCAGCACCGCTGCGTGGGCAGAAACCCTGTAGGAAGCAGGGGCACGAGCAAGTGGATGCACCAAAGTCCTGGTCTCGTGCAGATTAGTTGACTTATCTCTGAGCTGGTATTTCAGGAGGTGACATGACTGCCAGCTGCCCAGGATTTTTAACTTTTTTGGTTTTTTCCAATGAAGGCTGTGTGCCTGAATTCAGGGCAGTGTCTCAAAATGCTGCCAGATGAGCAGAGCCAGTGCTGCCACCTGCTTGGGCTGGGAGAGGGAGAGTCGCATTACTAGAACAACGGTGTTGAAGTTTGAAATAACTAGCGTGGAGTTTGCTAAAGGTTTTTATGGGCATCGATTGAAATGTTGGTCTCCGAGGGAAAACCAGAGTAGTGCTTGTGTTTAGCAGCCACAGACCAAAACCAAATCAGAGCCCACAGAAATAAAGCAGGTCTTCACCTTTGGTGCTGCCTGGAGCTGGGCCCTCCTGCTGCCTGACAGGTAAGTTAGGACCTGAAAATCCCTGGGACCTGCTGTAAAAGCTGCGGTTCCTCCAAGTCAGTTTGTTATGGCAAAGCCATTTTCTGTCCATGCTTGGCTGCTGGAGGGAACAGAAGCAACTGAGAGGAAGAGGAGGAGGGTTACTCACCAAAATCATTGACACAGAGGTTTTCCAGGATCTCCCTGGCAGTGCTGGCCTCCTCAAGCTCGCAGTCCTTGCAGCTGGCTCGGGGCACTGCTGCAACAGAAATTTGGTTATGACACCCTTGTCAGGCTTCACTGGAAAAGGCACAATGCAACTGGGAGATCTGCGAGCGGTGGCTTGCTGCTTCCGAGTGGTGCTTCCTGCAGAGCTACCCAGTCCCTGGAGAGACAGCTTAGGCTGCCAGAGTGGGAAATGTTAAACTCTCCTCTCCGTGCCTGGGGCAGACGCTGCTTGTCGTGCTTTGTTTGGGCTTATGTGTGTTGCTGCATGTTAAAGCAACAGTAAAAATGCTTGATGAAGATCTCCTAGTTTGGATGAAACAGTAAAGGCGTTGGTATGGCCAGGCTCCATCCAGCGATGCCGAAACGAGCTGTCTGTTCTGCCCTTAACTGCTCTTGAATCTCCCCCAGTGTTCGTCAGTATCTGGGTGTTTAATTTAGTCTTTCAGTCTTAAAGATATTTTTTCTTGTGTAACTCATGTCTGCCGAGGCTTACGCCCCGTTGTGGTGTTTCCTAATGTTTAAAGAGCGGGCTTGCAAAACATTTCTTTTTGCATGTTTATTTAAACCCCGGACAGCTGAAAGACGAGGGCTGCAGCTCCCTAGCTCCGCTGGAAGCACATCTCACTGCCTGGAGCCTGCACACAAGCTGTGCCGGCGCGTTAGGCTTTTACAGCAATTTCTTCCCCCTGCCCCAGACCCCACGTGGCCTGATGGCACCCGGGGAGCTAGTGAATACAGCAGAGAGGGGAACAAGCTGCAGGCAACTTCACGCTAATTTTCTAGACATGGTGGAGTTCCCAGAGAGAACAAAGCTAGAATTTTTTTTTTATTATTAATATAGCTTAAATCCAGAAATATTAGGAATGGAAACAAGGCATAGGCCCATTGTTTTGAGCTTTCAGTGTTACGTATGGGAAAACAGATGAAGAAAAAAGCCCCTTACTTCTCCTGCTCGAGGAATTTTCATCCGTGGAGACTGCTGCGATGCACAGTTCGTGATCCGCGGGAAACTTGTTGCAGTTCAGGATCTCGGGCCAGGGGTAGCCGTAACAAGCCATGACGGGCGCGCAGCTTCTCTTGACGGCCTCGCACAGGGGGCTGGGGCGGGGGTAGATGAGCCTGGGGAGGGGAGGGGGGTTGCAGCACCTCTGGACTGCTGGCAGCAGGCGGAGGGTCAAGCCCTGGCACCGCGCTGCTGCCGCACGGGGATGTGTTGCACACTCTAGCACTAGTAGAGCTATCTGGGGGTCTTTGATGTGATTTGAACATTTCATGCCCAGGAAGCAAACAATGAATTTCTGAGGACAGGAGGGATGAGGCTGCTCGATACAGACTGCTGCCAGAAGCCTATCCCCTCCCAGGGATCTTCTCTAGTTGTGCAAAGGCTGCTAACCTTTGCAGGTGCCTCATTAGATGCCCAGTTTCCTTAGCAGCTCTGTTCTTTGACGGCCTCACCTCAAAACTGAGGATTCTGTGCTGCTGCTGGCACTGTGGGGCTGAGGAAACCCCTGCGTGGTTGGGGCAGGAGCCGGGAAGGAGGCTGCAGGGGAGGTGGGGGCTGAAGCTGGTGGGTGCCAGCAGCCGCTGCGGTGTGGCAGGGGGGTGGCCAGGGGAGATGGCAGCACTGCCTGGGGTGAGAGAGCTGGGAAATCCAGAGTAGGGAACATAGTGTTTCTGCTCCTGCGAGATGAGATGCTCGTGTTTCGCTTCCAGAGGGAAGGTCCCTGCTGGGTGATCCAATTGCCCCTTGCCGAGAGGTCAGCACGGCTGCTCAGGGACTGTGCTGAGACTTCACACGTTTTTTCTTGGGAGGCAAATACAGTTGTTCTCTTGGAGAGTGTAACTTGCTACAGCTGTAATAACTTGTAAAAACGTCTTACCTGTCCAAGCAGATTGGTGCGAAGAGCGAGCAGAGGAAAATCCTAGCATCTGGGTGGCACTCCCTGGCCAGCAAGGGCAGCCAGCTGGAAGACTGCTGGATGGCTTCTGGCATGCTCTCGTGCTCCAGCAGGTTGGGAATCCTCATCTCAGAGTAGCCGATGTCGTAGCACAAGGCCATATGCTGTGGAATGGGCATGCAGCTGGAGGATCTCCTCAGGTAGCTTGCCCAGGCTCCTGGAGAGCCCCAGAGGAGCAGGCGTGCCAGGAGAGCCAGCAGCCATGGGCCGCCCGACCTCGAGGGGTGCCTGCAGTGGGCCATGACCATGCTGGGAGCAAGCTGGGAGCGGGCAAACGGGTGGCGCACCCCGGACTGAGCTGCTCCCGACTGTGGGACGCCTTCTTTTATAGCCTACGAGCCACCTCTCTGTCAATCCATCCTCATTAAGTGTGGCCCTTTCAGAGCCCTCATGGGGAAGACAATGCTCCAATTTTTGTTTGCCAGCGGCTCTGATTGTTTGGATTTTAGCAGGGGTTTGGCTTAGATCAGCAGGTGTGGAAATGAGGGCAGTTGGGGAGGGATGAATGACTTGACCCATGTGTCTTGGGGCTCTTTCAGCTGAGATTGAATCTCTGTTTGACACCAGTGCTCCAACCCATCCCCTTTCTCTTGCTCCAGGATTAGTCATTATTTCATAAACCCCAATGTTTTCCTCTCTTTTGTTTTTTGTAAAAGCAATCAAGTGTTGCTCAAAGTCAATTAGGAGGCATTTGTTTAGCTGGATCTATTGTTGAGCAGGCAGAGAGATAGGATGGTCTCACAGCCAGAAGTTAACCGTTTGGGAGAGCTGAGGGTAGAGAGGAACTAATTTGCAGGTGTGGAGTCAGGTTGTTTGCAGACGGGATTGGCAGCGCTTAGCTGGAAACCCCCTCACCTTGCAGCCTGCGTGACAGAGCACGCCTTCCGGTTAACAGAACCTTCATTACGAAATCCCGTTACTACCCCTGAAGAGCGGGATTGTCCTTCCTCCAGCACGTAATTAAGATTCCAGAAGCCATCATTATCGTAGCCCGGTTTGGGGAACTGGAAGTACTGGGGGCGTTGCTTGCCAGCGCGCACGGCTCATTCGGAGCTGGTGCTGTGCCACAGGGTTCAAACCGGCCAGCGGGAGCCCTGGCTCTGAAGCAGCCTCTGGCACAAGGACCCTGCACTGCCTGCGGCGGAAATTGTTTCCTCGGAGGGTGTCACGGATACAGCCGGCTGCATTGTGTTTCTGGGGCTTCCCAGGAACATCTCATTTTCTCCAGTGCTAGTTCTGGTCTGCACTTAGCAAGAAGCCAACTGCTAATTGACAGTTTGAGCTGATAGGGTTGATTTAAGGCCATGGAAGTAGTTAAATTTTTTTTCTCCCCTTTGAGAATTGCTGCTATAGTGGCAATAGAAGGTGTCCTCGGCACCTACCTGCAGGAGCTCTAGGGGGCTGCAATTTGGGGAGCAGGACCTTGGGCCTAAGAGCACTTAAACCCATCCTGCCTTGGTGTTTTTTTCTTTCCCTCTTGGAAAGTCTCAGCAGCTGGTAACAAGATCCCTGTAGCAGTGGCAGACATCATCCAGACGGATCTTCTCAACCTGCTGGGCCGTGGCATAACTGTGCAGTGGAGCGGGACCTCGCCAGCGCTTTGCAAGCACGTGCCCGGTGCACTGCACAGCTAGAAATCTCTTAGCCTCGTAGTCGTCAGTGGATTTCCCTGCATTTAAACTTGCGTGGGATCCTGGTATTGCCTGATTGCTGCTGGCGTCGTGCTGAGAAGGAGAGCTGGTGATACCGGGATGCTGCCTGGCTATGGAGTGTGGCATCTGCCTGTGCGGTGCCTTCCCCTGCAATGATAACTTCGAAGACCATTTTTAGTGGGGGATCAAGGGAATGAGTGGGAATGAGTCTGGAAGTTGTTTCCGTGCTGTTTGTGTTTCATGGCAGAGCACTGTGCCAAGTTCCCCTGAAAGGCGTCTGGTTTTGTGCTAAGTGCTGTCCTCTCCACATTGAGAGCAAGGGAGCCCAAAACCCCGGCCATCACCACTGCCCACCGCAGAGGGTTTGGCTTGCCTTCCTGCAGAGCAGCTGTTCCCAGGCTGTGATCCACATGTCACCTTTGAAGTGATAATATGCGGTGATATGCACGTGTTTGTTCGCTCCTTTGTCCACTGTGGTATCTGCGAGAGAGTTTAAGGGCTTGACCCCTGGATCCAAACACTTAGGAACTGTGGTTGTAAAAATACTCACCTCCAGCAGCTCGGATGTGTGGTGAGTGCTCTCCTAGAGCTCTTCTGGTAGAAGGGTAAACGCGTTTCAATGTTCCAAACTTAGGCAGTTTCTAAGTTTCCCCTCCACCTCTTTTTTTTCCCCGTCTTCTGAGTGGCCTGCCATTGGTATGGGGTCCCTCTATAACAGTTCCTCAGTTTCTGTTGCTGCTCACACTTTTGCTGCAGAAATTCCCGACTTCCTAACAGAGGAGGAGTGCAAGCTCATCGTCCATCTGGCACAGCTGAAGGGGCTGCAGAAAAGCCAGATCCTACCAACGGATGACTATGAGGAAGCCATGGAAATGATAGAAATCAGCCAGATGGACATTTTCAATCTGCTGGACCACAATCAGGATGGGCAGCTTCAGCTCAAAGAGGTAGAGTGCGGGACAGACTGGGAGAGGTTTGCTGGGGCACCCTCTGGCAGGTCCCCTCCTCGGATGGTCTACTGGTTACTCATGTGCTTGGGTACAGCCAGACCCCAGTATATACCAGTCAGTATTTGCTTAATTTTGTGTCTCAAGACTTGTGCTGGCCTTTGGCGTGGAAGTTTCTGAGGGAAATGTGCAGCAGTTGCCATGCTCTTGGGAGGTAGCAGCGGTCCTTGGCAGGAGATGGATGTTTTGAATGTGCTGGGTAAAATGTTCCTTGTGCTGTGGGTTTCCTCTTGCTGGGTGTCCCGGGGAAGTGAGTTTGCAGCGTAGGCACAGCTGTGTGCAGCCTGTGGGGACTGACTGCACTCCATCGACCAGACATCAGCAAAGCCACCCCTGTTCATGACCCTGGAGGGGGACAATGAGCACCTTGTCCACAGCTCTGCAGCACTCTTGCCCTGCATGGCAGGGTGCATCGGTGCAGGCACTGGCAGTTCAGGGATGTCCCTCCCCAGGCTCCCGTTTCAGGTGGAGCTGGGGTTACGTGCTGTCCCGCAGGCAGCACGCGTTGTGGAGCGTGAGGAACTGTGCCAGTGACAACCCAGGGGAAGGCTCCTTTCTCTGGAGGTCGGAGCCTGCTGAGAGCTCTCCAGGACACTGCATCGTGCTGCATCCCTCTGTCCACGTGGAAAGGAAGTGTTTTGTTCCAAGCCCTTGTCTTGGACAAGTAAAAGCATTCACTTTTATCGTCAGTAGCTTTACTTTCTCTTCAAGAGAAAGAGCTGTGCCCTCGCCATCTCATGACTGGTTAATTGAGTCCCAGCGGTCATTTGCCATGACCTAAACTGGAAATAACAGCACTCATCAGCCACACACTGTGTGTGGCTGCCAGATGATTCTCACTGCAGTCTTCTCTCTGCGGAGACGTGCTGACGCCTGGCTGGCCGATGCTCTGCAGATGAGAGCCCGCCGGGCCTCAAGCAGGGAATCTGTAGGGTTTCGTTAGTACAAGAAACCAGTGCCCGGTGTTGATCCATTTATGAATTTCAGGTGTTGACTCACACCCGGCTGGGGAACGGCAGGTGGATGACCCCCGAAAACATCCGGGAGATGTACACCGCAGTCAAGGCCGATCCCGATGGGAATGGTAAGAGCCACTCCAGGGGAATCCCTTCACCTCGCACAGCCCAGCAGGGCAGAGCAAGAGCCGTGTCCCTGCCCAGGCCTGTTTCCCTAGCAGTGTTCTACAAAGTAAAACAACGCTGCTTTAGAGACCTTTGCAGAAAAGCAGAATCCGTGTAAACCTCTCATCACAGCACTCTCGCCCCTTCATCCCCAGTCTGGCAGCAGACTGGTTCCACCACCTGGGCTCCGATCTTGCAGAAGCAGGACCGGAACACAGGTCTGCACTCCCTGTCCCCTGTCAGACCTGCCTTGGTTTGTGCCCTGCTGTAACAGGACCTTCAGGGTGTGCATCTGCTCCAGTGGTCCGAGAGACCACTCCGGCTATCATCACACAGCGCTTGCTACCTGGGCTGCAGGTTTTAAGGTGCGCCCTCCGCTCCCTGCCCTGTTTTCAAGGGGACTTCAGCAGCAGGCTGGGAGCACTGCATCACTGGCAGGGGAGAGCGGAATAGGTGGATGTGAGGGTGGTCTTGTTGGTCGGCCTTTGTTGCTGGCCCCGCTCTCTGCCACTGCAAACTCTCTGTATGCCATGAGGCCACTTCTGCCCCTCCTGCCCCTGTTCTCCCAAGGGCTCCCGCTGGTCCGGAATTGCACTCTAACCTCCGCTGTTCTAATTAGAGTGGCCTCAATTAAGCAACTCTCTGTTTCCTAATCAAATTAAGTGAACACACAGGCTCTGCACGCTGTCTTTCAGTGACCTGGCATTGAGAGCTGCCCAGGAGGGGTTGCTTTGGAGTTGACGCAGTACGCGTGTGAATGCCTAAATATCCGGAGGGCACCCTGTGCCCACTCCGCCGGGCCGGTGGCATTCTTGGCAGGGGTAGGAGCCCATGACTGAGTATGCGTATGACTGTTCCGGACATTAACAAATGAAAGGTCCTGTTGAAGTTCTCCTGGCAGGACCTTGCTTCCAGAGAGCTGCTTCCCTTGTTGTTAGATTGGTGCGTGACACCAAGAGACCAAGTTGCAGCCTGGATGTGGCACTGCATCATCAAAGACTGCATAGAGTGAGGGGAAGTGGGGACAGGGAAACACTAGAAAGAAGAACAGTGGATAATTTGGTCATGACTGCTGGCACCTGAGGAGCTGTCCCAGGCTGGCCATGGTGGCTGGTCCTTCCTCCTGCCAAGGGTGCTGGTGCCCGGGGAGCAGAGCTGGCACCGCAGCAGCACTGGCCTTGCTGCCTGAGCATGCTCCGCTCGCAGCCCGTGGTGTGTGCTGGCTGCTGGGCAGCACGCTGCAGCACTCTGCACGCTCTGGTCCCAGGGTCTGGTCCCCAGTTCAGGGCTTCCTTCTTCCGCAGAAAGGGGAAGTGACAAATGTGAAGATTTTTCTGGAGGTGACACAGGCAAATGTCCATCCCTTGCTGAGTCTAGTTCAGTCCAGCCAAGAAACACCTGTTTTAGTAGAAACCACTTTTTACCTTTTGCTTTTCTGTTATTACTACTTTTGCAAGATCATCCTCTGTTGTGTTTCTCACTCATGTTTTACAATTATGCAAATACAGAAAAGTGTACCACTTGTTCTAGGTTTGGCTTTTTTAGATTACCCTGCAAGGTCTTGTAGAAAATGTGGTCTGAGGTGTCCCACTCTGCTCTTAAAGGTGTCTATTTAAATATCTAAGTGACAAGCCCCAAGGCATCGGGTGGCACAGGCTGTCTAGCCGTGCATTACACGTGTTAGAACTGTAACTTCTGTCTTTTGATGGATTGGTTTGCGTGTTTTAGGAGCTTTTTAAAGTTCAGAATGGTATTTTGCCTGTCCCAGTTCTGACCCTGCATGGCAGCCAACTGTTCGCTTTTGCAGGTTGCTGTGTCCCCTCTGCTCAGCTAGAGGCGGGAGTGTAGTCGGGGTCCATAATGCTGCGTGGACGGGGTGCAGCCTGCGGTGGGCACGGTGGCAGACCCGGAGTGGGGTTTGTTTGAGGAAAGCAATTTCTGCAGCTGGTGCTTCTTGCGAGTACAGGATGCCGAGGACTGTTACCTGCACCAGGGTCAGCCAGCTTTTCCTCTCTTCCCGCAGGTGTGCTGAGTTTGGAGGAGTTCAAACAATTGAATATCCGTGATTTCCACAAGTACATGGGAAGCCAGAAAGTGAAGATGAGCGACTTGGTGCGCAACAGCCAGCACACCTGGCTGTACCAGGGCGAGGGGGCACACCAGGTCATGAGAGCCATACGGCAAAGGTAAGGGCCAGGCAGCCGGGCGGTGGGGCTTGTGTGGGCATGAGGACTGCCTGTGCCGGGAGAGGCAGCGGCAGACTTGCTAATATTCACACTTCCTAATTGGGTGAAAGTCTTTGGAGGGCAATGGACGCAGGCATGAAATGGGGAGAGGAGTTTTTCATTAGAACGAGAATTTGTATTGTCCCGTGGAAAAGGGAAAAGAAACATCGAACCTTTCAGCATCTCCATTCACTTTTGGGAACAGCCCTATAAAACCACGAAGACTTGGCATTATATGAAATAATTCATTCTAATTAGTAAATGAGCTTACTGGGAGAGACTGCCCCTTTCCAATGCTGTCTGCGTGCCAATAGTTACTGTCATTTGCTTTAGTTACTCATGCATTTCACTGAGATCTGTCTTAGCTGTTCAGAGCTGACTTTTTAACAAGCACGACTTCATCTCGAGTAAGCCAAGTTAGTTTAATCCTCCCAGCACACGTATTGCAGGGCAGCTCACGGCAGACGGGAGAACCTCTTGCCTTTCCCCTCATCTCAGGTTCGGTACTGGGAAGGGTTGAAACCCGGCGCACAGGCCAAATCGCTTAGCCGTGGAGAGTTTCAGATAATTGGCTGGAGACTCTTGTTCTCGAGGTGCTGGTCCTCGCCCAAGACATGGGTGGGTAAAATCTGTCCCAAGGCTTGAAAATGGCTGTTGGCCACTCCTTTTCTCCAGTGCGTTCCAGCGGGAGAATGGGGTCGCATATTGCCTTGATTAGAGCAGACTGTGGCTGGCGGCCCCTCCACGCCAGCTCGCCAGCACACACAGGCGTCAGCACACTGCTTTTACGCTCTTCAGCTGGCCACCGTTAGAAGCCCTCTGCAGACGTGAAGACGCAGCGCTGAAGGAGGCTGTTAGTCCTCCCTGGGACCGTGCGGTGCCTGGAGGGGCTTTGCCGTCCTGCCTGGGTGCCACGTTCCCCTTGCAGCTGCCCCGAGGGCTGCACCGGTCTGGATTCTCAGGGCTCTGAGTGTTCTTTGGCAGGTCTCGAGAGGTACCTGCTTGCCTTGGGGATGATCTCAGATGTAGCAGCGGAAAAATCCCAGAGCAGGAGGGCTCCGGTCTCCTTGAGCACTTCCCATGCCCCTCTGCCCTGGGGGGAGGCTGCTGAAAAGGCAACAGGGAAAGGTGAGTTAGGTGACAAGAATATTCTTAGAGCTAGTCTCTCCTTGACTCTCAGCAGGGGCCCTGTGCTTTGCTAACTGTCCCCGAGGTCTGTAGGTGGTGTGCAGGAGTCCAGAGAAGCGATGAGATGGCACACGAAGGCTCCAGGAACGCACACAGAAGGGACCTTGCTGAACAAGCAAAGTCTTCCTGAGAGCAGTCCTGCTGGAGATGCACCCTTCGGTTTTTGGGGTCTTTTTACTAACCTTGATGAGGACTTTCTGAGCTGATGCTGGCGGTCCAACAGATCTATAAGGACCTTGTTATCTCTTGGCATGCTTGCTGCAGCCCACCGTCTCTCCGGTCTGTTGGGGAAGGGGGCTGTCTTTCTCTGCATTGATTCGGCACTCGGGAGTAGCGGCTGACCGGGGTGGTGGTGCGTTCCCCTCACCTGCTCTGCCCTCCCCTTCCCCAGGGTAATGCGCCTGACTCGCTTGCCCCCCGAGATTGTGGAGCACAGCGAGCCGCTCCAGGTTGTGCGGTACGACCAAGGAGGGCACTACCATGCGCACATGGACAGCGGCCCCGTCTTCCCCGAGACTGCCTGCAGCCACACCAAGCTGGTCGCCAACGAAAGCGCTCCCTTTGAGACCTCGTGCCGGTAAGGTCTGCCTTGGCACAGCCTGGAATGCGTTGGAGAAGAGGTGTGGAGAGCCATCCCGCCTCACCTTGCGTGGGACTCGGCGCTCCGGTTGTGGACTCCGGAGATCGCTGGCGTGATGGGGTCTGAAGGGGGAGGTGGGCGAATCCGGTGGGCTCATGCGAGGAGGGCAGAGTGGTTCTGCAGAGCTGCTGGGCCATCCCCACCAGTGGCTAGAAAGACACCCTCACCGCTGCGGGCGGGGATCTTCCTCGTTGCCTTGTCCTTGGAGAAGAGCTGACGATGTAAATGGCGTGCCTGGCGATGTCGGGGAGGAGTGGTGGAGAGGCGGGTGCGGGCAGCTCTGCGCTTCTCCTGCTCGTCCAGCTGCGTCCCCTGACAGCCGCTGTGTCTTGCAGGTACGTGACGGTGCTGTTCTACCTGAACAACGTGACTGGCGGAGGCGAGACAGTCTTTCCTATAGCTGACAACAGGACGTACGAAGAGATGGTAAATGAATCTCGCCTGCGTGTTACCCCTGGGGATTCTGAGTCCCTCTTTGAGCGTCTTTCTTTGCTGTGGCTGCAGCAGGGGTCCGGCGTGTGAGGCTGGTGGAGGTTAGCCTTCCTAGCCAGAGCGTGGGGAAGCTCTGCTCCGCTTACGGTCTTTTCCCTCTGAGGCCAAGGGGAGAGGCACGGGGCGGTGTCTCCCCGCTCGGAGGCGTGAGGGGCGGCCTGCTGGCCTTGCTGCCGTGACACGCGTCCCGCTCGCTCCTGTCCGGGCAGGTTTCCTCAGACCACGTCCTGGCAGTTGTGTTGTGGTCCTGTCGGGCAATGTGTTAAGGAAGGGGCGGCTGCTCGGAAACAGGTCGTGGAGCTCCAGGGGACTGAAGCTGGCTGCTCCGGGCAGGTTGTGACAGCCCTGAGCTGCGGGGCGTGCAGGCAAAGGGCAGGGTGGCGGCTGGCAGCAGAGGCAGCCCAGCACGCGCTTCGTTCCAGTCCTGTTTGCGACACCTTCTCTGTGGTTTCTTGCCAGTCTTTGATCCAGAACGACGTCGACCTGCGAGACACTCGGAAAAACTGCGACAAGGGCAATTTGCGAGTGAAACCTCAGCAAGGCACCGCTGTCTTCTGGTACAACTACCTGTCAGACGGAGAAGGTACGGTCCCGTTTCAAGGCTCGGCTCTTGGGAGGGGTGGGGCTGCAGGAGGTGACAGCCGTCTTCTTGCGGCAGCCGGGAGCTCGGAGGAGAGCCGAAGGGTGGTAGCTGCCTGCTAGTGGGAACTGTGGAGTCTCCTTGTCACCAGCTGGGCAGGAGCTTCCTGACTGCGACAGGCCTTTGTTGGCAGGCACCGGGGCCCCCGGAGGGCTTTCGGGGCCGGGCCTAGCCAGCAAACAAAGACCTTGGCTGCGCTAGCCATCGCCAGCGGCCTCCCGTCCCGCTGTGCGAGCTGAAACTCCTGCTGGAGCTCGGTCTGCAATTCGAAACGCTTCACTGATGTGGTGTTGCCCACGGGGGTGGGGAGGGGAGGCAGACAAAGGCACGGCCATCAGCTCTGCAGCGCGGGGAGGCATGGCCCGCCCCGCGCGAGGCTCTGCTGTGCTCGGGGCCGACTCCTGCTTCGTAGCTCAGCCGCGGCCTGGTGGTACGTGGCCTTGGGGCTGTTTTTCTCATGAAGCGCAGCGTGGTTTTCCCTGACAGCCGGGCTGGGGGATGGACGTGAATCCTCCAGGCTGCTGGTGGGTATGACTCCAGAGCGTTCCAGCAGCGGGTTAGGAGCAGTGGGGGGAGGAAGGAGCATAGTGTCCCAGCTCCTCTGGGAGCAGCCCACGTGTCCATCTCTAGAAAACCCATGGAGAGGAGGTCACCAGACCAGCGCTTGGGCCATTGGGTGATAATATCAAGGCCATCACTCTCCTGTAAGAGCCCCGTTGTGTTTTTATGAGCAAGGTGGGTGCTGCTGCAAGCCTGCTGCAGGGAGTCCAGGGGACCTCTGCAAAGAGAGGATCATTTGCAGCTGCTGAAATTTCATCTCCAGCATGGCTGGGAGCCTCTGACCTCCACGGGCCTTCCCTT